AAAAGATAGTCAATTTTTTTTTTTTTTTTTTTACTCACCTGAGAATATGTTCAGAGACAGGGAGAGGGAGACAGGGTGGGAGCCTCAATGTGAGAGAAGTCTCTAGTACACACCCTGACTTGGGATAGAACCTGCAATTGGTGCATGGGATGATGCTCCAACCAACTGAGCCACCTGGCCAGGGCAGCATACACATTGTTTAGGGTTATGTTTCTGAGGTTCTATGGTCTACAGCTGAATTTGGATACTCAGGGTTTCCTAAGTTTGATAAAAATTCAGAAAACCTTCAAAACCAACATATCTTCAAAGAGAATGCTTGTCTGCCTATATATTAGCTATCTTGTTTAAAAAAATTTTGTATTATGGAAAATTCAACTATATAAAGTAGTAGAGAGAACAGTGCCATGTATCAACAGTCCCATATTAATAATGATCAATTCATGGGCAATTTTGTATACCAATCACTTAATATTACATGCTCACTACATTATTTTGAAGATAATCTCAGACATCAAGTAATTTTACTTATAAATAGTTTATTTTGAAAATCTACAATATAATGACTTTTTAGAAACATAGCACTATGTTATTACCATACCTACAATTAGGTAAATAACCCCTTAACACAGTAAGTGTTCAGTTTTTCTGTCTCAGAAAAATTTTGCAACAGTTGTTTTGTTTGACTATGAGTCCAAACAAAAGCTAGCATTTGATTGATAAGTTTCTTCAGTTTGTTAAATGTGTGGTTTCTCTGTTTTCTAGTCTTCCTTGCAAGCTATTTGCTGAAGAAACAGTTCTTTGCCTAGTAGCACTGCCCCTATTCTGGATTTTGTTAGTGGCATCCCTGTGATGTCATTTGCTATGAAATTGTGCCCTGGGCTCCAGAAAAGAATACTAACACCAATTATTAACACATTTTGACTGCTGGTTATGTGCCCTTTAACTTTTAAGTGTTTGATGTGTAAGAAAAAATTTAATCCTTCAAAATATCTACTTTTTATGTGGTAAGTACAAACATGATATATTTTATGTAATTTAAAAATTATGTTACCTTTAAGTGGTATGATAGTAAATACTAATAAGGTCATACTTCTTGTACAAAATCTGCAATAATTCAAATAACTCAAAAATTTTCAAGAATAACATAATTCAAAATAGTAAGGACTGATTTC